CTGGGACATTAGCGATGCTCCAAGTGCAAATTTTAATATGGATTTAACTGCAGAGCTGCTACTGAGGCCTCCATAATGTTATTTTAAGGTTAATTTGGATACCTCGTTTGGCGTTTTGGCTGCCTAACAGCCACTGTCATTAGTGAGAGTCGCATGGTTGAGTTCCAGTGCTCTGCTCTGAAAATCTCCCTCTCTACAGTTGTTTATGTACATAGAAATAAATGAGCAAATAGACCATTCTTTGAAAAGACGATTTTGTGTATAATAACGTGTTAATGTTTTAATCCAGTCAGCTGTGCTCCCACAAGGCAGGCAAAGGAGCTTCAGATCTGAGTTCTGAACCTTTTCTTAATGACAGATTTCTTTGGTCAGAAGCAAGTCAAGCTCTCCCTTTGTCATCCTGGCTTATTTTTCAGTCTTGCTGTCTTTCCACAAGACAGCAGTGAGAGATTGCTATGAAACTAATTAATGTCTGACAGACAGATCGAACCAAATATCCAAAGGATTCAGAGTATAGTTCATTCCCCTTTACAAAACAGAATAGCACAAGGCAAGAAACATATAGATGACATTATTATACTAACAAATAGCTGAGGGAATTTTCTCGCTCATTTTATCCAAATTAGACAATTTAAGACAATTATGGTTAAACTCCCCTCCCAGACTGCAGCTCAGTTACCTTGATGTGTTGGTAGTTGTAAAGAGATACATATGAAATATTACCTAAGAGGGAAGCTGTGTGCTTTAGTGGACCTCTATTGTCTCTCAGAGTGCAACCACAAGGGAGAAATAAGGGTCATGTGTCATATATGCATAGCCAAAGTATGGAAGATTTATGACTTAGTGAATATGTAGATATGCTAGTGTTCTTGACCAAACCGTGGAAGCTGTCCTTGAGTGTGTCTGAGGTTTTACAGTTTAAAAAAAAAATACTTCAAAGCGAGAAAAAGACAAACAATTATACACACACAGTCTTGGAACACTTGGGCAGTGTTCTCTGCAATCGCAAAAATAATGACTGCTCATCCTAGTCTCTTGGGGGGGAAATTTCCATATTTTTGCTTTCGAGGCACTTTCAAAGCCATTTACTGCCATAATTCATACACCGCTGGATTAAGAACCATATGCCTCTTAAAATCAGCAAGAGGCTATGTAGCGGATTTGCTGATTTAAGGAAAAGGAAAAAATAAAAATAAAATAGGCAGATTGAGACCTACTTTTACTTCAAAGGATATAATAATACCAGTTTGTAAGTCCACTCATTAAGAAACAGTTCTAAATTAATTGGATAGGGTGACAACAAAAAATATCAAACTCCAGTATGGTGACCACTGCATTTCTATGCTTACTGTAGTATCTTTTGGTCAACAGTTATCTGTAATTGTTGGCTGTACATTCAACACAAGTTGTATCCAGAGGCTTAAGCAGTGCTTGTGGATCAGGAGAGCAACATTTCATCTGCAAAACAGACATTGTTCTGTCAGAAATAAGGGATGGTCCTGTGACGTTAACTGTGAGTGATCACAGTTTGCTACATTAGATTACAGCTTGATGCTAATTCACTGTACTTTTCAGCAGAACATGGCACTGATTTCACTGTTTTGCAGTAAAACACCTTTCATTGGTGTTATTACTACCAGCATGTCTTTTGGATTATCTTGTCCGTTGTCTGGAAATTCATGTCTTTTGGATCTGTGCTGGCTTCTCTATAGTGCAGCTCATGAACGTCCCCAGAATCCAGTATATCTCACACATCTCTATATCTATACGTACTGTCTCTGTGATCACAAAGAAAACTTTTCAAATAACAAGCTCTTCATCTATGAGCAGCATGTGAATGATGGCAAAAGTGACTGCCTGAGTCTGCAGACAGCCTGAAAAAATAGCTTCAAAAGGGTTATGGAAAGGTCACTGATGAACTTCAAAACATACTTAATAGTTGCAGCAGATGTATAGCCCATATAGTCATAATCCCTGTATGTGGCAAGGAGATGGGGAGAGGTGCATTGGCATAATTGGCAACTGCCAGAACCAGTAAAATATTCAGATTTTTCAACCAAATTTGAAATTATTCCTAATCTTTTCTGCAAAGGGAGATAAAAAGAAAATTTACTCCTTCATCATCTCGATTGCTTTTTCTATTTAAAACCAACTGGCAGTATGATAACACCGTTCCCAGCAGATAACATGATATTAAACCAAAATCAGCATCAATACAAAGAACAGGGATGCAGATACAGTATTTGTATCTTCTTGGCTAAATTGAAGTTATTAACTTTTCATAAATTTGTTGATGATTTTTCTGTAACAAGTTTTTTTTTCTCTTTGTTTCTTTGCTGCACCGAAGCACTATTAAAGACAGTTTTGCTTCTGCTTAACTTAGACTTCAGTTGCATTAAAATAGACTCTGATCATAGAATCATAGAATGGTTTGGGTTGGAAGGGACCTTAAAGATCATTGAGTTCCAATGCCCCTGCCACAGGGAGGGACACCTCCCACCAGACCAGATTGCTCAAAGCCTCATCCAGCCTTCTTCCTGATAATGTAAATCTCATCTCTTCCACTTTGAAGCCATTATCCCTTGTCCTATTGCTTCATGCCCTTGTAATAAGTCCCTCTCCAGCTTTCTTGTAGGCCCCCTTCAGATACTGTAAAGCTGCTATAAGGTCTCCCTGGAGCCTTCTCTTCTCCAGGCTGAACAACCCGAACATTCTCAGCCTGTCCTCATAGGAGAGGTGCTCCAGCCTTCTGATCATCTTCATGGCCCTCTTCTGGACCTGCGCCATCACTCCAGTAAGGACCACTGTTCAGTCCACTGTTGGTTTTTGGGACAACACAGCAACTCGTTTCACACAGTATTTTCTAGAAAGAACCTTGTTTATATCCCTCTTTAGTTTTAGTGCCTGGGTAACAGCTCTTGGGGAACATTTGCTAGAAGTTACATTGATTTCTCATTTCTCATAAGGTCCCAGCTGGAGCCTTTCATCCTATTTGGGGCAAGGTAATTCAGGGAAGATTTGAATCAGTTGGATACAGTTTAGAGAAGTATAATCAGAACCCAATAAAATCTATCCCACAAAGATTAAAAGAAACGGGTTACTGAGCCTGTGACACTTATGTCTGGAAGGGAGTGATTGCTCTTTTCACGTATGCAGAAGTCTGCTCTCCTTGTCTGTGGTGGACAAAGAAATGGAAACTAGCATCATTCAGACAGGATTTAAAAAAAGCCTTCCTTGTCAGGGAGGTTATAGCATCACTGGAGTAGGTTGTTGGAGTCTCTTTCACTGTGTCCTGCTTGGAACTGGGTAGACAAACATCTGGTAGAAAGGATGCAATTTGCTTACAAAGGGAAAATGGCCTTTATGTCTCTTGACCCCTTCCCACCATACGATTCTGTATATCTCCATGCAGTTCCCAAACGTGCCATTCTTATGTTATATTATTTTATTCCTGCTAAGAGTTTATATGAATGAGAATTTCCTACTTTCTCTCCTCTTCCTGGAAAGACGCTATCAATAGGTGGAGAATCTCATTATAAAATACTTGGTTTGAGAAAAGGCTGTTTGTTTCCTGGGAATTCTGTAGGGGCCAACAAGTTCAAAAGCATCTAGAAAAGAAAGATCCCAGGGATCTGGGAGGCAGGACTTGACTGCTGTGAATATATATCATGTCCCAACAGAGATTGATAAGTGTTGGTATGTGACATGGAGCTCTAGGTGTTTACAGAGCAAGCTACAGTTCCCTGGAACAAACTGCATTTTTTTTATTTTATTCCTGGACCAACAGAAGACCATGGCATGATTGTGTCCTAAACACTCTGTTTTCTTCTGTTTCAGCCCTTCAGAAATGAATACAAGAGGGTCAAAGCGTGTTGCATTTCAGTGTGTTTGAGCCTTGCTCTACAAATGTATTTGCTGAGAGAATTTAGCTTAGAAAATTAAACCTTTTGTTTTTTTAATGAAGAGGGGTAGCTACTTTTCGTGCTTTGAAGGGGTTTGTAAACCTCTACATCTGCTTCTAAGGGAGGGCTTCTGCTCTGTTGATACAGGTGAATCCTGAATGGGACTGAAATGGGACTCAGACCCAATGGTGCTATTCATTTTTTGTCATTCATGTCTTCTTTTGAGGCTTTAAAAGCTTTCGCACAGAAACCTGATCTAAACCTCCAGTTGCCTCCCTACCCCTCAACAGACAGGTAGAAAGTCTGAGGATATTGATTGAATAAGCCCCCCAAATATATGCCTTGGAATTCACTTTTTACTCCTGTTTGAAAGAGCAAACAATCACATGCCTGCAATAATGTAAATTTTACTTTCATTATGACCATACACCCACAAGCTAATTACATTTCAGACACAAAGCCTGTCAACTTTCCTGCTCTGTGGTGATAAAGGAACCTGCTGGGTAAAATAGCCACCACTCATGTGTTATTTCAGGAAATATCTCGCTGACTGTGGGAGAGAGTTCTTGTTTTTGTATTGAAGTAAAGAAACAAAACAGGAGAACTCTGCTAGATTTATAGTAAATATAAGTGGCTATAATGATCAATATGATTGGACAACACCGTTTAAAATTAATCATAGTCTTTGTTTAAGGAACCTCTCTGGTTTTGCCTTGCATGTTCTTTTTCATATTTATTGAGAATACTGACTGAAATTGAGACCCTTTCCACTGGGATTTAAGGTAGCATGTTTTCCTTTGCAGGCAGGGTGGGCTGGAGCTATTCCAGAGGAGTGCTGCAAAAGTGGCTTAATTTCCTTCCAACTATTTGTTACTGCTGATGTCCTAGAGGTTATCACCTGAACCAACTTAACCAGCTGAGGAGAAAAAAACATTCAATCAGTCCTTCTGCATTTTAGTGCTCGTGTAGCCAACTTAGTTTGGAGATCTGTTTTAACTAAGCCATCTGATTTTATTTTTCCTCTCTTTTTTTTTTTTTTCCTAGTTAAGCAAACGAAAACACTCAGGGATTTGGATTTGCCAGCTGAAATGTGAAGGTGGCAACTTACAGCAGAGGGGTGGTGAACAGCCAAAGAAACCAGGGGTGAAGGCAGCATCTCTCACTGCATGGCCCTTTCCATAATACGCTTCTGGGTGGAACATAAAGGCGCTTCCAGAGGTAGGTTTAGAGGCCCAGCTGACAGGTGCTAACTTGCTTAGCTGCTGTGCCTTGATTGCATTTGATTGTGTGCCCATAACCTGAGCAGATTCCAGAAAGGAGTCATATTCTACTTATGGCGAGTTCTTTCTGCAATACATCATGCTTTTGGTGTGTAGCTTGGCCTTGGTGCAGTACTCGGGGGAAGAATTGAACTAAAATGAGTGTGAATGAGGTTTTGAGGGGAGCTGTTGCTTTCTTACCTGACCTGGGCCATGTGATGGTTGTTTTGTTTGCTTTTAGTTTTGAGCTGTGATTTGGAGGAGGTATCCACCCCTTGAGGCATAGCTTTTTCTCCCTCTATACCTGGGCAGGGGGCTGAGGAGCTACAGATATGTCTTGGTGTGTTCACTGAAATGGGTGAAATAGCAGTGCTGTGGGGAAAGGCTGGGAAATGAGAGTGAATGGGAGGAGAGGGGTGATGAATTTTTATTTAATTGCCTCCAGTAAACAAACACTAGCTTCTTAGGAGGGTGCCCTTTCTACTCAAAGATAAGCTGATGTGAATTACTCTTTCTGAACAGCTGTCACATCACAAGTTACTAAAGAACACATCATTCTTATTCAGTTTAGCAGCACTAAGCATGATATAAGGGAGGTTGAACTTGGCTCCCTTATTCAGTTTAGCAGCACTAAGCATGATATAAGACCAGGGAGGTTGAACTTGGCTCTGATTGTTGAACATTAAACCTTTGTTGATAGTTTCAAATCTTCACCAGATTTCATCACACTGCTGATAACCTGATATCCAATAACTTCAACTTCATAAAGGCTGTGTTGGTAGAATAACAGTACAAATGCACAAGGGTGTGGCTTTTCAGTTACTTGGGTATCTCACTTAGTAGAATAGGAACTGATGTTCAGTACCCACATGAATCTGGTCCATAATATGTAGCAGTGTAAAGTATGTGTCCAGATGTTTAATAGACTCTGTTGTGGTGAATGGTATTTGGGTACTTGTCTGGAATTACAGCTGTGTGAATTACTACTTCATGCTTTTGGTCTGAAACTAATGAAAAGAGTGTGATGTGCATCCCTGCTCAGAGCCCTCAAAGCCTGTGCACAACCTGTATCCCCCATAAGACCTCAGTCTCGCATGAAGATACATGCGAAAAGCCATACATTGGCTTTTTGCAGGGTTTTTTCCATGAAAATGGTCACCCTAAAAGGTCTCCATTGCAGTGATACGAACATATGGACAGGCACTTGTCAATCTCCTAACCTTTACACTTTGAAATATCCACTGGAAAGTAATAGTGCATGATGTCTAGGACATGGTGATTCAGACTCTCTGCTTTCTGATTAATGTGCTACTACCTTCTTCAGTGGAATAACATGCATTTATGCTAGTGAGAATCTGTCCCAAAGACTAAGGAAGTAGGGATGTAAAATAAAGTTTTACTCTAATGTTATTAAATAGCTTTGTCCTTGGAAAAGAGCAGAAATACTCTCTTTATCTATGAAATGAGCCTGAAAGTTTAGGTAAATATATAAGTATCCTGTTAAGTACTGCTTGGTTGAACACTTTTTTCATTAAATAGTTGTTCTTCTGAAAATACTTGGTATTTTGAGAGGACATGGTGGAAATGGTGAGGACATGGTGGCTTAAAAAAGCCCTAATAGTGCAAAGTAATTTTTTCCATACATTTTCATGAGTATTTTTTATTATGCATTGCACACATCCTAAATACATAATTACATGCTGTCTTGGCCAATGGAGTAAATAATACGTATTTTTTTTTAAAAAAAGAATGAATATTTAACGAATGGAGTGCAATGGCTTCAATGTGGGGAACTGAATATGGGTTTTAAAAACCTGCCTAATTATGCACTTAACCAAGACATGAGGACAGTTCCTCTAGAGCCATTCTGGCCTGTCAAGTAAATAATATGCATTTTACAAAACCAGCTAATTATGGATTTACCCGTGGGACTGTAAAAGATCTGAAGATGCAGGTAAGTAATATGCACTTTATAGCTAACCATGCATGGGGAATTTAATTTAATTAAAAATGTGGTAGGTAAAAAAAGGAGTAGTAAATAATGCCTATAATCTCTCAAAATCCAGGAAATTCAAGTTAAGTTAGCTCCCGTGCCATCTTGAAAAGTCAATATACCAGTGAGAAATATCCAAGAGAGGGATTCATGTGGGTGGAAGTACTTCCATTGAAGGAGATTGCTTTGTTTTCCTGGAGCTCTCTGTGGCTTGAAGGATCTCCTCTGTCTGTCAGGATTGCAGGCCTGGGGCTCCTTTTTAAGATTATGTTCTGGGTTCAGGGGTGCAATGTGCCCAACGTCTGCCCTTGGTCACACTTGTGCATTTTTCCCAGAGATCTGTAAATTAGACTGGCTACAGGAAAAAAAAAAAAAGAATGGAAGTCTTCGTTTGTATTTGTTTTTATTAATATGCATATGCTAAGGCTCTGGAGGAATTTTTGGACTTGCTTAGGGGGTATGAAGATGACTTGCTGCAAGCTGACGTTGTGCTCTTTCTTAACCCCTAGAAAAGAAGCACTAAGGTTTGAACATTCCATCATGTATCTCTTTTTGAATCACGTTGTACTGAAAAGAAGGCAAAACATGGCATCAAGACTTTTAAAGAGTTGAATATGAAAAACATTCTGAGCTTAATCCTGAAAAGTACCAAGAACATTGTGCATATTGTAGTGCGTCACTAACCTTGTGTATACATGACTGCATGAAAATTCATGCCTGAGGAAGACTGGCAGACTACCTTACCATTTATGGAAACAAGTAAATCCAAATCTCAGGTGAAAGTATGATTGGGAGTGTTAACCAGGGTGAATGAGTAGTGCAAGTGTTTGTACGTACACACGCTTAGATGTACTAAACCAGTCATTTCTTCACCGGAGGCTTTAACAGGTGGTTCCGAAAGACTGCACATTTCCTTAAGAAGCAGCCACTCAATAATAAAACAGTAAACAGTTAGTTAATCGTGACAAATCCTTGCCACTCCTCAAACAGTACACAAAGCAAATTTTTTTGTTTGTTTTTTTGAGTCTTCCCCTTTTTTTCTAAAGTCTGAGAAATGAAGTTGGGACAGCTAAAGTGTAACAGTACCCACTCACTGATTGCTGGGTGATACACAAATACATTATCTGACATTTTCCCCCAGTTTTATACACCAAAGTTGTGTTCTGAATATAAATTCCTGCAAGCAATTGAGATCACAAGTATGAAATCTGAAACTGCTGGTTCTATGATGATAAAGGGACATGCTCTTTAAAAGAACCCATTTTTGCTGCAAGCAATGAACATGGTATGTGGAAAAAGACCTAGATTTGAAGTAGAGTTTGAAATGCTGCAGGGATTGCATTACATCCTTCTAACACTCTTCTTCCTTGGTCAGATAGAAGCTTTTTTTTCGTTGTTTATGTGTTTACTTTGAGAATGTTAGATTGAAATACTTCTATTAACCCTCTTCTTGTTGGCTCCCTTTCTTCCCTCAGCTTTCCCCATCACCCAAGTCCCAGCATTTACTGAATATAGTGGTTCTGTTTGGGATCTGAATAACTGTATTGTTTAGCCCCAAAACCAACATCTCCATCTTTTTCTCTTTCCTTAAAAGTACACTATTTTTTTAAAATGCAAAGTGGATTTGCAGTATTCGATTACTTACTGAAACCAGATACAGAAATTTATTATTAGGAAATCAAGTTTCATGCTAGGAGAGATTGGAGCACAGCCAAATTAACAACCTGATTTGTATTTTAACTGAATTACAGTCTCACTATTCTGCTTATATTTCTTGCAAAAAAAAAACCCAATAGAGGTGATCACTGCAAAAAAAACCCCAAACCCACAATTGATGTTTATTGCTTAGAAATAGCTGGATTTTCTTCAGGTGCTTTGGAAAGCAGAGGAGTGAAATGAGCTAGTGGCAAGCTGTGAGGGCTTCAGGACCAAATACTGCAAACAAAACTCACCTGGAGCTTTTGAGGAGTGAAAGATCAAGACTGCAGTGAACAATTTCTTGCCAGCAATTGCCTTGACCGTTGGGTCACTGTTGGAAAAATAATATGATAATCTTTACATTAACTTCAGTAGTTTTCTTTGTGCCAATTGCTCCTATTGTTGCTATGCTCAGCTAAGCTGGCATGACAGGAGGTGTATTACTGGACTGCTTAAGAGAAGACTTGCTTGAGTTCTCAAGCAAGGTGAATAGGACTTGGAGAATCTGACAAAAATGTTTTATCTGAGCTGTTCTCTTAATTAAATTAGTCCCATTCCAATAGCCAGCTGAATAGTGATGTCAAGGAGGAGACAGCCACCTTACGAAACCTCTCCTGTAAAACTTACTGTATTTTTAGATTCTTGGATTCTTTCAGTGCCATCTGTAGTGCACACATCACATTCTTCACCATGCCATTACCTTACAGAAGTAGATGAAGAATAAGAAATTATTTTATCTAGGTCAGAAAGGGAATATGCTGAAAAAACTCCTTTGTGAAGGGAGAAATCAAGCCATTGCACAACTGTAGGGAACACAAGATGCATTAATTTAGATATTCTTTTAATATTAACGATTTTAGTAGCAGAATGTCTGGATCATGTATCAACCGATGCTTATGTTATTGCTGGTTTAAAAAAAAAAATCTTGCCTCAGCTTTAAACAATTTAAAAAACATTTTTCATTCCTTGCTTCTCTGATGCCTGATGGCCAAATCCTGCTCCCTCTGTCTGCCGGGGAGTTCTTCAAGAATTGGTATTGCTGCTTGATTAAGACCCACAGGATTTGGCCCTGAGAACCTTAGGATGTGTGTGTGAAGGTTTCCCGGGTCTAAGCGAGGAATTTGTGGTGTTTTTTTCTTTAGCTTTCTTCCTAAGTACACCAAGAATTCAGAGGGAATCAGAATAAAATTTCTGTGGAATTTTCTTGAAGCAGAGGGGAGAGTTGTGCTTGCACAGGGCTTGACAGCTCTTGACAGTGCTGCAGAAAA